AGGCATATAAACTTTCTTACATGGAGGAAATAAAGAAGACTTTCAGTAATTAAATGTACCTCCCTCAAAATGAATATTGGTTTGTGAAACGAGTTCATTTCATCCCTAAGGTAAGAGTGGCAGCCCTCCTTTTCTTTATCATCATTTCTGTTTGTTCGTTTAAGCGTTGAGTGCTAGAAGTGTTATTTCAAAATGTCTTTACCTGACTTGACCTAAGATGGGAATAAATGCCTATGTAGTATGTGGTCAGGATATTTTTGTCCTTGCTTTTCACTTGTTAATGTATTTGGCTTGGCCAGTTACATATTACAAAATGCCCCAAAAGGTGTGGGAAGGGATCTGACTGTCCAGAGTATTAAAAATTACATGTTTCCACAGAAGGTCAAGAATATTTGCTCTGTTTTTATTATCGGTGGCACTGTGCCACGCAACCTGTGAAATGAAGTCTAAAAGCACAAAAATATTATTCTAATTAAAATGAATATAAACCAAAGCTGAACCATTTTTGAAATCTATTAAGTAATCAGTCCTATGTCCTCACTGTGCAAGGAGAACTGCTTAGATGGGTCCATGGGCCTACAAGAGGCTTCTTGACTGCCAGGAGCTTTGCCGAGGCACAGGGCCTGCTGTCTCATCTAGATCAACTACTAGTAGCTTCTGTTTACGCATGAAAGCGTTGGTCCCGTTTTAGGTACTTGCTGTGTGGTACCCAGGTTCTCCGCAGATGATTCCAAGTACCACTGAATATCTTTCTCTACTTGTAGATGCTGAGATCTTTTGAAATACTGAACAGTGCCGTGCAGAGTTTGGAGGACTTCTGAATACTGTCTGAGTTCTTAAAAAGCAAACTCCTAGTTGTAGAAAGCATGTCAAAGATCAGAATGCATTCATTTGTGTCCTAGTTGGTCTGTCTTCCTTTCAAGCTATGTAGTGGAAAGAGGTTTTTTCACACCCTTTAAAAATGTTTCTGCTGTAAGAGAATTTAAAGCAGTTGGAGTTAAATGATCCTTTGCTCTTCGGCAGTTCCAATTATTAAAATAGATTATTTCCTGTTTCTTAGGGCAGAGAACGTACCCAGATTTAATCAAAATTGTCTTTAACCCTTAAATTTCCTGGAGAGTATATGAGGTAGCCCCACATCACAAAGATGCTGTGTATTAACCAAGTTCATTTTAAGAGGACATTTGATCTGCGACTCTGACAATTGAATCATTGTTTTAAGATGAATGCGTTTACCTAATCACTGTCTGGCTCCACAAACAGGAAGTCCTTTAGGCATTTCAACAAAATTTTTTTTTTCCTGTGGCTTCTGCCTCCCATTCCCTGAGTTGACTTGGTGTGCCAGAACCATTGTCTATTTTTTATGTGAACCTCCTATATTGCTAGAGACCATCTATAAGAGTTTTTATTAGTCTATGCTGTTGGCAATTTTAACTTTTTTAACTTTTTTAATTTAACTTTTTTTATGGCTTTACTGGCAGACAGATTGGTTTAAATGGAAGTTCAGAAACAATGTAAAGTTTTAATCCTTCAAATATAAATTCCATTCCTGATCCTAGCCAAGCATCTTTGTGCTGGTGAGTGTTTATAACTGAGACTTAAATTCAAATCCCATGTAACCTGCTCCTGAAAACAGTTCTCTCTCTGAATAGCCCTATTGACTTCAGTGGTTTTGCTGGCTTATAATCTTATATGAATGCCTAATCCTTTGCAGGATTATGGCTTGAGAAGCATACAGTATTGTACTGACATAGACCCTGTATTCAGCAATTACCTTATTAAACAAAACCTCCAGACAGCAATTTCTTGTTTACAAAGTTGAATCCGTTTTTTGGTCTTCAGGTGACAGAATCGGCCCGTTTTCAGGAGAAATAAGAATTTCTGAATCCATATTCTTGTGAATATTTTGTAATCAGTCAAAAGAGATTTTTAGTGAATGTTGTTCTTTTTCTCCTACAGTTTACACTTCAGGAGTGTAAGCTGAATTGCAGGGTTCAAAAATTGCCCCTCCCTTGAAGGTGCCATCTACTCCACCCATAGCAGGGCAGCTGGTGACATGCGAAGGCAGGGAACCCGGCAGCAGCATGCGTGTGTGTTTGCACGGCTGTCACTGCCAGCTGCTGGAGTGGAGAACACACAGAGAAAACTAGCTGGAGAGGCATTTTGTAAGGCAAAAACAGAATTAATTTTCTGTATAATTTTGGGGACCTATATTATGCTCTCTAAAGAGGTTGGAGTTTGCAGTGCTCCTTGTTTTTTTGCAGGACTTCCAGGTTGTGTGCGTCCTTGTCAGAAGGTGTTAGCTAACATCTAAAGCATTTAATTTCTAGTCGAGGCAAACCCACAGAGGTCTCAGATGAATAATACAATATTTTTCTCTGAAGCTTTGCAGGTGCAATCACCTGTGTTCCTTGTAACTACAGTAAGTAAAAATAATGTCGGCCAATGTTCAGACACTTGAATGGGTCTTTGTTAAATCACTAAGCTTCCAGTAACGTGTCTCATGTTTTCATAAAATCCTGTAAAGGGGATGGTGGAAAGGAGCTATTTATCGGATTTGTTCATACAAGTATCCAGTGATGGTTATTCCACAATCTCCTCATGTTATTTTGCTTAGAGATCATAAAAAGAGATTGGTGGGGTTTTTTTTTTCTTTTCTTTGCTGGAAAATAAGCTGCTGACACATACAAACCTGGTAAGGAGAGAAGTGGAATTTCTACACTCTAGAAGACTGTTACCATTCTGTCTGCACTTGAGGGGAAAAAAACCTCAGTTTCTTTAACCTTCGCTTTCAAGTCACGTTCTCTAAACGTCACCTCCTTTGGGGGATGGAGGAATGATGGAGAAAGACAATGTCCCATATGCACCCTATTCCAGCTGGGATGTTGCTATAGCTGACCCTGCTCAATAAATGCTGCCTTGTCCGAGTATAAACTCTTAGTTATCCCAGGGGGAGATTTGCCTTTTTGACATCAGTGTCCCATTGTTGTGTAGTGTGTAGTTTGCTGCTCACTCAGAACCAGAGAGCCTTTTCTGCAGTGCTCGTGATTAGTCAGTGCTTCCTTATTTTGTCTTTATGCACTAGATTTCACCTTCATAAATGCTTTGCATTTCTCATGTCTCTTTCCATTTCGATACGTTTGTTTTGGGCCGTTTTCCTGATTGATCCTGTCTTGTCCCTTGCATGCTGCCTTGTAGACTCTTACTGCAGATGTCACAGCCATGCATTTTTCTGTATTAATGGCATTATACGGACAACAAATTTTGCAACTATAGAAGTTAAACAATTAGTCTATTTTGTGTCTCTCTACCCC